GGCCTTGCTGAAGTCCACGAAGGTGATGTCCGTTTCGTGTCCTTTGGCCTTGTTCTCGGTCCAGCATTCACGTGCATGTAGCAGGTTTGAGAGGCGTGAACGACCCGGCCGGAAACCGTGTTGTTGGTGGCACAGGTGGCCGTGGCACACCAAATGCTGCCGAAGCCGTGCAGCCACCAGTCGCTCCATTACTTTACCCACAACGCCAGTAAAGCTGACTGGTCCGTAGCTCCCAGGGTCACTTCTATCCCCACTTTTGGGCAGTGGAACAATGACAGCGTCCTTCCACTGTCGCGGTAACCGCCCTTGAGTGAATGACAAATTGAACAGGTTGGACAGTGGCGCTGCAAGTTTATCTGCCAGCTCCCTCAGGAATAGCGGATGCACACCATCAGGTCTAGGTGACTAGTGAACCATTAATTAGTTCGTTCAATTTTTTTGCGTGACAAATTGTTAAAAACTCGATTAATTTTTTTGTGACGTTTAGTGGCTGTCAGTGTCTCCCAGTTGCGGAACGTTGCCGACCATCTTATCCCCGCGGCATGCTCTTTTGGGCAATTCCTCTTCGGTCGATATCTAAAAGCCGTCAGTTCCGCATTGGGAATTTAGTTATCCGGTCCGTCTGTGTTGCATGCTGCGGGAACCTCAAGGGAATTTTGTTGTTTTTGTTGTACTAGTGCAAAGAAGTACAGTGAAGCAAATTTCGCTAATCACTGCCTAGGTATCAGTGTGTCCAAAGTAAATACTACTGTGTAACGTTAACAGAGCGGATGGCCCGCCTGTGGAAGGGAAAATAAAAGGAACCAATCACCTCACGTAGTATGTGCCCCAACATTAGCATCTTTCAAGCGTCAGCAACATTATGTTTCAACACCCAACTACATAGTATATTCTCCTGTGCTCGTCAAAAACATTATATTACCATTTTACTTACATGGACTAACTATGATCTTGTGAATCCTGTTCCGAACCAAAGTGTAAACACCCTATGGAATTTGATAAGCAAAGTCTTTGTACTTTTTTCCCCATAATAAAAATTTGAAATATTTCAATACACACGGTCTCAAACAGTCTGATTGAATAAGAATTGAGAAAGAACAGCGGCATTACTGTGGGTTTGCTGCCATGACCCTCTGTTGTAGTGTCCTTTGAACCTCACTTCGAGTTGCGGCAAATCCGTACCGTGATTCGATCCTGCATTTCAGTATGCACGGATCTCGTTTCAGATCTCCGTTTTCGGCTAGATGCTATTCGCAATATCCGTGAAATTGGCTCATCTCACAGAGGAAACTACCTGCCTACAATTGAACGCACAACCTGCTCACAAGCATACATCTCCACCAATTGGTCACTGCATACAAACAGTGTATTTTTGAAGTGGTGTTCGATGTAAGCGTTATTTGCACGATGAAATGTCGATTTGCGTGAACATCATGCTCACAATGACCGTTCGGTTATTGAAACCGTAAACCTGAGTCTTGAAACTTAGCGTAGCGAACCTCGTAAGGCCACAGTAGAACAGGCTTGGCATTAGACTGGACAACGAAGACGCCGCCTACGATCAAAGTTGAATGGTGTTGATAGATTAGGTTAAACGGTGGGGTTCTGATCACCCCAACGAGCGACTTGAACTGCTTGACCAATCAATGGTACCCATATCAGTTTTACTATCCGATAGCCACATTTCATGCGATAAAACTGTTTGTTTTAATCGGCTTCCCATGTGCGATTGCACAGATTTATGAGAACCATGAGAGCAAATAATGGGTAGGATTAGCATTACCGTCAAACGCATTGTGGTCTTTTTCGATTTCTTTAGAATCGTTTTGAGGCTTCACCTGTGATTGGCACTCTGTGTTACCCAGGTTAGCACTTTTGACTAATAATTCGGGTCTTCAAGAAACATGCTTTTCATGACTATTGCTTTTCTCGTTGTGCACAAATCGCACAAGCTTGATACGGCCTACTGCTTGTACATCTTTTGTTCACGACCCTCATCAAGTTCTGCTGTCTTTTCCGGGGATCAAACATAAATCCTCTCACTCATTTCCCTATTGGCTATTAATTTTTAATTCCCCTGATTCGCTTCAACTTACGCTTCTACAACAGTTAAATCAGGGTTACATCAAGAATCAGTTACATGTGCTGTATTAAGGGGAAAACGCTTTGTGGTATCTAGTTGTGCATGAAGAATAAATGTATTTCTCTGGTAACCTTTTGCGAGCTTATCCAAGAATTTTTGTGAATTAGTATTGTTTACTTGTGCGGTTAATTTTGCTCTGCGACGCTTGCTGACTCCCAAATGAGGCGAGCCTCGATTCTCTGCCACCAGCCGGTTGACATTAGTATCACATGTCTACTTTCCATCCATGACCCAGTTCCATATTTTTTCATCTCTGTCAAATTAGACTGTAAACTCGCGTGTGTAACCCCTTCGAATGTGAATGCAGATAACCGACCGAGTTTGAAACAGCATGTAATTCGTGCCCGCATATGTGTTTCAGTTTGCTAGCACTGGTTTTAACACAACAGAAGATTTACATTCTCTTCCTGACTGTATTCAGTGATATGAATGTTATGGTTTATTTTGTCAAATTGTTCTGATGCATGAATAATTAACTCGATTGACTCGCTTGTTCCTTTACGAATTGTGTCGTTTGCAGTCTCTCCCGTTTAGTTCACTACTCTTTTGTAATACTCATTCGACAGCAACATTGGTTCCTAAATTTCGCTTCTTTATAGATCTTATATTATCGTGGATAGAATCCGGTGATGTTCTAGCTTGTTCCGATCGCTCTGGATTTGTCATTGCCAAATCCACGTGTTACTCACCGTTTGCATTCTCGAAAATACTGCATACGTGTTTCATTTGGCCTTCCATAGCGATCATCGCCAAAGAGTTATTAAGCGAGTTCATTGGGCTACCTCCACTGTTTTACACCATCTTGTCCCACAGCATTCTATTTAGCAAACCTTAAGTCCTCCTGCTGATCAGTGCTCGTTCTATTATTCAGTTTTCAAAAGAAAGGATCATATTGCAATACTGCATGATTTATATCCCAGACGATTTCGCTGCATCTGAACATCGTGCATACGGCAGAAAATTCAATGTTTATGTAATGCTTTCGCATGGCAACAAAGTAAAGCAAAATACATTAAAACGGGCAAAACATTTTTTTTTTTTAAACGGGGG